ATGTATCTGAGCGTGGGCCTGTTTGGGTTCTTTTTGCTTAGGATTCTCTGTGCCTCCTTAATTTCTGTGACCTTTTCCTTTACCATGTTAAGGAAGTTTTCTGCCATTTCTTCAAAAATTTTCTCTATCCCTTTTTGCCTCTTCTGGCACACCTGCTATTTTAACATTGTTATGTTTCACATTGTCCCACAGCTCCCTTAAGTTGTCCTGTTTTTTAATTGGGTTTTGTTTTGTTGTTGTTTTTTATTCTATGAATGATTTTTTTCAACCTTGTCTTTTATTTCACTGACTTGATCCTTGACTTCTGTGTTGTATTCCTTCCAGTGTCTTCTTTGTGTTATGTCATTCTTTATCTCCAACTGTTCTTTTTTTTTTTTTTTTTTTTTTTTTTTTTTTTTTTTTTTTTAGTTACTGTGTCTTTTTTCATGCTGTTGAGTATCTTTATCATTACTCTGAACTCTGTTTCAGATAAATCTTCTCCTTCATTTATCTCTTCTTTGGGGAACTCTTGTTCTTTCATTTGGGGGTTGTTTCTTTGTCTCCTCATTTTGGCTGTCTATTTGGGTTTGTGACTATGTATTAGTGTTAGAAATAAGGTGAGCCCCCTAAATCAGGGGTCCTGGTAGAACACAAAGCATACTCAGGAGTCAGACAGCAAGGCAAACAGCTCGACTTCTGCAAAATGCTACGTACCAACACAGAGTCTGGCAGCACATATACTGAGCAGGTGGTCTGCTTGAGCTTTTATTTCAGATGTATGTGATTCGTTCCTCACTCATGATTGGAAGAGCTTAGGGTCCCAGTCTTGTGCCATTGGCTAATTTAAAGGAAGGGGTGACCTTTGCTGTTTCAAAATAGTACCCCCAAGGGGAGCTGCAAGTCATTAGAGTAAAAAGGCGGCTAAGTCATGCGAACCAAAATGGTGGTTGCCTAACTCACTTTCTAACAGGAAAAATTACTTGTTTATTCTCACATTAGGTAGATTTTCTATGACTCTCAATTGCTAGTGCAGGACAGTGTCAAATGATGTTTCTGGCTAATTAGATCAGGCAAAGACTCAAGGCTTCTTAGAGCAATAGTCTCCAACCAGTAGTCCATGGGCCATTGGTGGTCTGTGAGGTCCGAAAGGTTGATGACATCTGTTCTAGAGACCACCTCTGTCTATAGACTGATTCTGTTTCTACTTGAATTGCCCTCAGGCAATCGCCCTGAGGTAAGATTAAGGCTTTTTCCCAACAGGGTGGGGCAATTGCTTCTGCCTGGAGGCTAATTGTTATTTTTAGTCTCATTTATTTGTTTTTGTCTAAAGTTTTACATATGTCTTCTTTTCCCCCAGTTGACACTCTCCACCTCCCTGCCCCCATTTTTAGTCTCTTAAGTGACCTCAGGGCAAGGTGTTTTCCAATAGGGTCAGTCTACTGCCTTCCCCCCAGGCAAGGCAAATGTCTGTGTGGGAAAGATGTCCTCCACAGTCTCTCTGGGGTCTCCACTTTTGATCTTCAGGTATCAGGGTTGTTTCCTGCGAGTCTTCTGTTGATTATTCGGGAAGTTCTGTATTTTAGTTGTGATTCCAGTTTGTGTCCATGCAGCATCCATTTACTCTGCCGCCATTTTTAATTCTTTAAAGTATTGTTCTTATGCCATTACCACACTGTCCTGATTATAGTAGTTTTGCAGTAAGTTTTGAAATCAGAAGGCTGAGTTCTTTAACTTTGTTCTTTTTAAAGATTTTGTCCTTTGTACTTTCATATGAATTTTAAATATATTTTATTGATTTTATACAGAGAGGGAGAGGGAGAGGGAGAGGGAGAGGGAGAGAGAGAGAGTTAAAAACATCGATGAGAGAGAATCATCGATCAGCTGCCTTTTGAGAGAGAGAGAGAGTTAAAAACATCGATGAGAGAGAATCATCGATCAGCTGCCTTTTGCACACCCCCTACTAGGGATGTCCAGCAACCAAGGTACATGCCCTTGACCGGAATCGAACCCGGGACCATTCAGTCCCCAAGCCGACGACGCTCTATCCACTGAGCCAAACTGGTTTCGGCTCATATGATATTTAGGATTAGTTTATCAATTTTTGCGAATAAGATAGCTGAAATCTTTTATTGTGGTTACATTGAATCTGTAGATCAGTTTGGTGCATGCTATAAGATTTCTTTGTAATTCACCAGTGTTTATTTTAATTCTTGTTACCATCTCTTATCATTGTGATTTGTTTTGAAACTCTAAAAGAAAAATTGGTTATGTATTTTTTTGGGGGAGCAACTAGGAAGTAAGAAACTAGGAAACATCTATTCCTAGCCAGTCTTGAGAGACAGAGGACATAGACCTCAAGGGGTGGAGTATCCATAGGAATAAAAAGCAAGCTGAGTCCAGTGTGGACAGGCATTTACTTCAGAAATTTTGAGGTGTATTCAAGGGATATATCTGTATTTTTTGGCTTGGGAGGTTTTTTTTTAGTTTGGAGAATCCCAAAATTAGGTTCAGGATATTGGAAGCAGTCCATTCAGTCAGGGGGCTCCTGAAGCTAGTTTCATTAGTATAAAGATAAATTCATCTGAGTGTATATGCATTAACATTATGGTAACATACTTAAGGTTTAAAAATGGTAGAGTGGGTTGGGATTTTAGGAGCACCAAGCATCTTCAGGAAAGGGGCCTTAAAAGGACAGAATTTAGAAAAGTATTCTGGAAAAGGATAGGCTTAAATTTTCTTTTAATTGATTTTGGACAGAAAGAGAATCATCAGTTTTGTTGTTAAACTTGTTTATGCATTCATTGATTGCTTCTTGAATGTTCCCTCACCTAAATTTGAACCTGTAATCTTGACCTAATTGGGATGACTCACTAACCAGCTGAGCTATCCCTCCAGAGCAGTTAAATTTTCTTTAAGACTCATTTATGCCATGAAAATAAACCCTGCCTTGTAAGGTTATTGGGTTTAGATATAATGTAAACAAAATGCCTATTACTGTGCCCAGTAATAAAGTACTACCGGTGGGGAAAAGGAAGTGAAAAATGCTTAGGATATAATACAAAGGAATTTGAGAAGCAAAAGGGAGCCCAGAGTGGATAATTGATCATTTGGAACAATGGGCAAATGAATTTAATTGGAAATGAGTTTTTTCTTGGAGCAAGATAAATTGGAGGAATCAGTAATGTTCAGGTTGCAGAGTTGTGTCTAGACTGTAAAAAGCCAAACACTATATCTGTGCTGTCTAGTATGGTAGCCACTAGCCACATTTAACTGTTGAACACTTAACCATGTGACTAATATGGCTGAGGAAACGGAGTTTTTAATTTAAACTTACGGTAAGTAGCTGCGTGGTAAGTGCTCAGCAGCCACATGTGGCTAGTCCTGTATTGAAAGCACAAATACAGAACATTGTCATTATCATAGAAAATTCCATTGATAGCACTGCACTAGACTAGCAAGTGCAGATCATGGTGCTGTGAAAATTCAGAGCAGGGAAAGATGTGTTTGTAAGTTTGGAATAGTGAGGGAATAATATGCAGAGGTGGTGGACCTTGATTTTAGGCATTGGATTAATAGAAAAAGGTGGGAATCGCTTTAAGGGAGTTTAGGGAGCATTAAGCACTTGTGGACCAGTGTGTTAGCAAATGATTAGAGGTAAGTTTGACTATATCTAGTAGTTAGAGCTAGAGAATTTATATATTTCTTTAAAAGGTTGGCATTCATCTGTTAAACTATCTGAGTATATCACGGATTTGGAAAACTAATCTGGCAGTTGTACCCTAGTGGAATGAAAAGGAAGAAAGATTAAAATAAATAAGCAAATAAAAAAGTAAAAATAACGAGGTTTAAAGTGATTGGAAAATGAATGAATCATTGTATCCAGGGTGTGGAAGAGACTAGAGATGTAAATTTGAAACTTGTTCATGACACATATCCACTTATTGGGACATCTTTTTGTCCTTGGTTTAAGTACATGGTTGTATAATCTCTGAAGTCATGTGACATTTATCTTTCTCTGATTGGCTTATTTCACTTACCCAGTTCCATAGTAGGTATCATGTTTCCCCGAAAATAAGGCATCGTCCGAAAATAAGACCTAGCTCATGGAAAGATAAGACATCCTCTGAAAATAAGACCTAGCGCAACTTTGAGAGAAAAAATTAATATAAGACACTCTTATTTTCGGGGAAATAGGGTACTTGTTAAGTAATTATTGTTTGAATGGATAGGATTGATGGTTGATTAAAGTGCTGAATCTTTGGGGTAGGAAGGGCTAAAAGGATAAAAGAAACTACACAGTGTTAGTATATATTACATTTTCTGACGATTTTCCCTCTTTGTTGCTTTTTTTTTTTTTTTTTTTTTTTACCTATTGTCCTGAGGTATCTATTTTTACCATTTATCTTAGTTAATAGGATGAAGTTTACGTGGCTGGAGGTTTTATTGTAAAGTCTTTCTATGAGATGGCTACCTGATTAAGATCTTTTATTTGCATCTAGAATTTCTGTTTATTTAGTCTCTGGAGACTCATTCATAATAATTTTCTCTACTATGCTGTATACTCAGTGGTCAGTATTTGATGGATACTTGTGTTAAATAAGATTCTTAGAGCATGGGTCAGAACTACCCACTTTATCCTTAATTTTTGTTTCCATTTTCGGATTCAGTCCCTGTTTCCGTAAAACTCTTAACCTCCTCTAGCTACTCACTTGATGCACGCACACATGCACACACTTTTTTTTATTTTGAGAGTTCTGGAGAGCCTCAAGTCATTCATCTGAATGTCACTGCTGTGATGTAAAAGATATATATTGGGCTAAATGTGAATTGACACAAGATTGTTTTATGAGAGATTTTTGTTTTTAATTAGCTACCCATTATGAGCTAGTTTGTTCCTTGTTATTTATTTCCCTTAAAATTTAAAGTTAAAAAAGCAATTTACATTCACTGGTGTTCCAAATTGAGTCCCTAACTTTAGATGTTCGTTGTATTTAGCTTTCCCTGGTATAATCTCCATATAGGTAGAGTACAGAGAGATGGATGAAAGCTTGGCCAACCTCTCAGAAGATGAGTATTATTCAGAAGAAGAGAGAAATGCCAAAGCAGAGAAGGAAAAGAAGCTTCCCCCACCACCTCCTCCAGCCCCACCTGAGGAAGAAAATGAAAGTGAGCCTGAAGAGCCATCTGGTGAGTTGTAGTAACCACCAATTTTGTTTTATCTTAGAAATAAGAATAAATGGATTTGTTTTTACTGTGTGATGTTATTTATGTCTTTAGCTTTGGTTTATATTCTAGACATTGGCAATGTGGTCTTATGCATGCACGGATGCATGCATACATAGTGGTACTGATATCCTTTTTGTGTGTGCCTGTATATAGGAGGAAAGTAAAGAAGGGGGTGGGAGAGTAGTGGCAGTCAGTTTAAAGCATTTGGAAAGCTGGAGAAAATAAACAGTTAGAGGAAACACACAGAAAGCCACATCCAAAGAGCCAAACCTCTCAGGGATAACTCTGACTCAGATTTTAGAGAGAGAAGGTTCAGAAATTATTCTGGTTATTATGGTTGGATAACTTTCATGGTGTGGATTAGTTTGAGAAGGGTTTTTTCCTGGTGAAAAATTAAAAAATATATCCAGATGTAAAAAACTAAGTATAGTATTTGTTAATTATTGAGCCCTCCAATGGAAGGAATGGTATAAGAAAAGGCTGTGAAGAGATTTTAAGCTTACACAATCCCATGACATGGAAAGATTATTGGAGTCAGAGCTTAAAAGAATTCTCACTGATAGCTCCTTAGTCTTGAGTCCAACTGAGGACACTCAGACCAATCAGTGATACCTATCTATTTTGGAGAGACCAAACAGTGAAAACTTAATTTTTCATATCTTCTGTCCTTAATGGCATTTCAACTCTTCTTGACTTTAAATTTTTACTATGTTCTCTTCAAAATACTTTTGATACCTTGATGCTAATTCACCTCACCAATTTTTTTAAAAAACAAAACAAGTCTGGTGGTGGTGGTTCAGTGATTGGGCACTGCTCAGGTTGTCCTATGATCCCCAGTAGGGGGTGTGCAGGAGGCAGCCGATTGATTCTCTCTCACTTTGGTGTTTCTCTCTCTCTCTTTCTCCTCCCCTTTCTCTAAAATCAATAAAAAACATTAAACAACATGCTTGTTTCAGATCCCATATGCTGTATTTTTGCATGATTTTCATAGGTACCTAGATTAAAGCATATTTCATTTGAGAAGTTTTATTTTTTTTTAGCCTTTAAAATCCTTGTTTTAATATTTCCCTCTGTGATGTATATAAATCACCACACTTGTAATTTAATAAAATGTAATAAAAAAATATACAGGGTGTGTCTTTCTCTCCCCCCACCCCAAAATGTATATACACTTTAATAGCTAATAGCTCAATTTTGAAAATGAAATGTATTTTAATAAACACTGCCTTTATAATTATTCAGAGTGTGTTTATACATTTTTGGGAGGACACCCTATAGTCTTCGAGCATTTAGAAAAAGATAATTAGATTCCGTGTTCATCTCAGAAATCAGATTTTCTTACGAATTGTTTTCCTAAACTTCCTTAGAATGACTTCTTGGATAGTTTTTATTGGATTATATATATTATCTTTGGGACTAATGTTCCTGAGGCAAATGTAGTCACCTCTGTACCTCAACACCTCTCTTTTTGTTCCCCACCTCTTTCTAAAAGACTTACATATAGCTTTCTTCTTCTGTCCTTACTCTTCTCTTGACTGTTTACTTCTTTCTTCTGTATTCTTTGCTTTCTTGCCTTTTTTTCCTGCCTTTGCTGGAAACTTGCTAATGAGATACATGGGTACAATCCTTTTGACATGTCATAGCTCAAGAGGTGGTTCAAGGGCTGTTAAGTATTATCAGCAGACACCTAATAAGCTGCTTCACCCTCTTTTTTGTGGTTGTCAGTGTCTCCAGTAAATAACTGATTTACATTGATACCAAGTTGATACTTCTTTGTCTTCTGAAAAACTTAAGCCAAGTCTCATTTTGGTGTTTTCTTTTTCATAAAAGCAGCTATTTGTTTATTTGTTGTTGGTTGATTATCTTTTTTCATAAATATCAGGCACCCCACAAAAAGGAGTTATCTTAACATAGGGATTTAGGATTTGGAACAGTCTTTCATACTATAATGTTCTAGTTCACTTTAATTCAGTGGTTTAGTCTAATTATCTTAATATTTAGGGGGAAAGTTAAAGTTTGTTTGTTAAATTTAGGAGATGTGTTGATAACAGCCAGAACTTGCCAATATATTGTATGTGGTTATGAAAATTTATAAAGTTTTTTTTTTCTTTAAAATAACTTTTAAAAAATTCCAGGTGAATGAGGGAAGTACTTTAGCCAGAAAAGTAGTGATGCAGTTTACTAGCTTACATCATTTAGAAATAGATTGGGCCCTGGTGGTGAATCACTTACACCAGGTGAGCTCAAATATTTAGAAACTGTCCCAAGTTTCCAAACCTTTTGTCTTGTCAGAACCAGTTCTTCCACTTCAGTTTTTAATCAGAAATTGAATGGGAGCATTGCCATATGGGTATCTTAAAATCTTGAGAGAAGTGGATCTGATTCTTTATCAGAACTTTTCTTCATCTCATTTTAGGTAATAACTAGAAATTAAATTATTCTCTTAAGCTATGTAAGTAAGGTTTTAATACATTTCATTTTTAATTTGTTTAGAAAATTTAGCTTTGCTTTTTTTCACAGTGTTAATCTTCAGAAAAAATAAAATATTTTGTTGATTATGAATGCTCAAGGTATCCTGCAGTCAGTGGGTCAGACTTCATTAAACTATTGATTAACTCTTCAAATTGATTTTGTTAGATATGGTTATTACAGGTGGTTAGCTGATCAGGGACAGCTCTGTATTATAATCTGTTTTATATATATAATTGTTGGAAGAATCACTTTATTTCCTATTTATATTCTTGTTTATATTCTTACAAGAATCCTTGTAAACTAAGGAAAGTACCTGTTTTTCTTTCCGTTTTGCACGATAATTTTGGAAAGAGATATAAGCTAGTAAACAAATTATAAAAATAATTTGTGAGAAATTGATACGATTGAAATTTGTGTGGTTTTAACTTTGGGACTCAGTTCATACAATAGTCATACTGTAGGTTGAAAGTGTGTGGGGTTTTTTTTAATCAGATAAAAGAAAACATAACCTGAATTAGTAAAAATAATAAATTGCAGAAAATATGTAAAATGTATGTGAATGAGTAAGAGAATTTATCTTAAAATTTGATTACAAACACTGATATCATGAAATTATCCACATGACCAAAGATCCAATGACCAAAATTATTTATTGTAAGGTGTCCTCATCTCCCCTGTGAGGCAGTCATACTGATTATGTGCAGTTAATACAAGTGCTGGGTTTGGCAGCATTGGAGAGTTCTATGGTCAGAGTTCAGGTGAAGCTAGATATTACTGTGGCTTATCCCAGGCTTTTCTCTCACTTTGCGTACAAGTGCAGTCAGCAGGAGTAGCTTTCAAGTTCAGTGACCATTAACTCAGATAACCTCCAAAGGAACAATAGAATTCTCTTCACCTCATACCCAGTAAGAGACCCTCTTGTAGATTTACCAGAAGTTGCTGGGAAATTTATTCCTGCTAGAATTGTTGATGTTGCCATTTTGGCCTACCAGGGTCAAGTGCCTGGAATCATTTGAGTTTTCTTTGTAAGAGGTATGATGCATACATTTACAGACAGACATAGGGTTCATCCTCTTGTCCTTTTTTGGGAGGAGGGGCATGTAGATCTTTTCAGTGTTCTGATTTGAAACTACGCTTACTGGAGGGCTGAGAAAAAAGTGTCACAGGCTGATAAGGTAATCTAGATCAGGTTAACTAAGTTTTTAAATTTGAGATAATTATAAATATGTAAATATATACACACACACACAGCCCTACTCTCAGGTAAGTATGAGACACAAATGTACACATAAGTGTGAAATAGAAGGCAAATACTCTTAAGCATTACATTTCACTATAAAAATTTGGGTGGGAAGGAAAGTATGGGAATTGATAGTATTAAGAGGAACATTAAAAAAAAAGAGAGAGAGACATTTTCTGCACAAAATAAGACTCCTCCAAATATGGCAGGTCCACATTTACTTTATTTCACACACATCTATACTAATAAAAGGATAATATACTAATTAGACCAGACATCTTCCAGACAAAGCCACAGTGATGGGGGCTGAGGCAGAGGGTTGGGGGTAATCAGGCCAGCAGGGGAGGGCAGTTGGGGGTGATTTGGCTGGCAGGGGAGGGCAGTTGGGCAAGATCTGGCCAACTGGGGAGGGCAGTTGGAGGCGATCCAATTGGCAGGAGAGGGCAGGAAGGTGAGCAGTTAGGAGCCAGTGGTCCTGGATTATGAGAGGGTGCAGACTCGGCTGAGGTTCTCTTCTCCCCCCCATCCCCACCCCAATATATGAATTTTATGCACCGGGCCTCTAGTTAATTATAAAACTACAGTGCTTTGTTCTAAGCATAGTGTTGAACTCTGAGGGTTCTTCCTGCAAAGAATTCACAGTCTAGTTTAGGTTTACAGTAAGTTGACTACAGTGGAGAAACAATACAGTAAAAGTGTATTCAAAGTATGGTGAGAATTCAGGAGTTTTTAAATGTTTTTCCCAAGATTGGATTTTGGAAGTTTTACATTAAACATGAAGAGATAAAGTTGGGCTTTTATGAGGCAGTTTGAGATCCTTTTATTGATTTTGACTGATAAGAACCATCTGTTTGGTCTTAAAGACTGAGCTGCTTTTTCTAATGATTTGATAATTTTGTTTTACATTTTATTAAGGTAAAATAGCAGTTTGTTGAGCTGAGAAACTTTGTTTTTATAAATTCCTTGAATTTATCTTGCTACCATTTTTTTATTTGGTCTGATCATAGTATAATATAGGAACAGGATACTTTTTCTATGAGGATTTTCTCACCTGCAAAATGAGGACCAAATGAGAAAATATGAACTCCACTTTTGTTTACAAACATCTTTGTAAACACAGAGTTGAAACAGGAGTAGGGTAGATTGATGTTTTAGTTCAATATTTTAAATGACAGTGTAACCCTAGCCTCTTTGATTGTTATGCCTTACCTATTTTCACTGTCACATTTTTACTCTAGTGGATTTCACT